CTCCAGCTGGGGAGGCTGTGAGCCTCACCCCCTTCACATGGCTCCTGGCTGCGGGACGGTCCCCACATGCAGTGGGGCTGCACTGCGGCCGGATGCTGGATGGGTGCCAGGGATCCCACCCCAGGCACATGCAGCCTGTTAACGCCACTTCGGAGCCTGCACATGAAGCCGTGAACCCTCCTGGCAGAGGGGAAATCCGGCATGGCACAGCTGTTCTCCCTCACTCCATGCATGTGCCAGCGGGGCTGAGACCACCCAGCTCATCTTGGTGGTGGTGGAGAATCGCCGAGCACACCCAGTCCCCGACCTGTCCTTGTAGTGCTCCATCTCTGTGCCCCATCCCTGTGCCCCATCCCTGTGCCCCATCCCTGTGCCTCATCCCTGTTCCCCATCCCTGTGCCCCATCCCTGTGCCCCATCCCTGTGCCTCATCCCTGTGCCTCATCCCTGTGCCCCGGGAAAAACCCCAGACAAACACACTCCGTCCTTTGGGAAGCAGTGGCCCAGCATGGGGGTACACCTGCCCCCCACCCAACAAGGGAGAAACGTGTGTTGTTGAGGATCCCGTGAGGAATCCTCAATGATGTGCACAGCCTTTGTGGAAGCCTCTGTTCCACCAGCAATGCACCTCCAGCCTCTCCAAAGGTCTGAGCTCAGGGGCTGCACCCCAGGAGCCCGACTGCCTTGCGGGGCTCCCCGGCACAGAGACCACAACACCCGCTGTCCTGAAGCAAAGCAACTTCCCCGGGTTAAGAAAAATACCGGCATCCATCCTCCCGGTGGGGCTGCGGACATCCCCAAAATTCCCTGCCCCACCCTACTGCCAAAAGGCCTCCCGGGCCTCCAGGAGCTCCGAGCCCCTGGGCAGCTGCGGGGTGAATTTACCTGCGCAAAACCTGCTGGGTACCAAACCGGGGGGGTCCGCAGCTCGGATCCCAGCTGGAAGGAAGGAGGGATGGGTGTTTCCCAGCCGCCGCAGCACCAAAGCACGGACCAAAGCGCATCCCGGCCGGGACACACCCAGCGGGACCCGCAGCCCCACCGCAGCGCAGCCCCCCGCGGCTTGCCAAGAAGCAAAGATTTTTCATAAAAATAACCCGGAACCCCAGGGATTCCCCCTGCAGCCACCCCTTGGAGGGAGCCTCCGCTTGCACAGCTCACCGCCCAGCCCGGCCAGGGCTTTGCACGACCTTCCTCCCCCCGGCCGCTGCGGGGGAAAGCGGCCGGCGCCGCCCGGCCCCGTCCCGCAGCGGGCACTGACCGCAGCGCGGAGCCTCCGCTCGCCCGGGCTCTTCCTGCGGCCGAGCGCTCGTCCTTGGCCGGCAGCTGTTTCCTCACGGCGAGACCGCCCCCCGAGTCCCCGCCTGCCGCGGCCAGGGCCACATCCCACCCCCGGTGCCACGCCAGGCCTCGGG